AACAAATATTCTTGTCAGCTTGATACTCTACTTGAAAATAAATCATGGACACAGTGGAGATGTTCTAAGTTTTTCAAATCAGATATTGCGCAGAAAAATCAATTTCCCGATGGAAACATTCTTCAAAATTCGACCTGTTAGGTTATTTTGGGGGGTCTTTTGCATAAAGTTCATGATGCTGTGTTTCCAGTACCTGTGTGTTACACGTCATAGTGGATTTACTAATGATCTCTACTAATGAAAAGATAATTCAAATACTCCATGATGTAAAGCTTAGAAACGTCTGATATTGATCCACTGGGAACAAACCAATAACAATCTAATCTGGTCATGATTGTTTTTCTTTGTTGATTTATTATCAAGAGAGTTTCATAAACGTGCATAAGTGAGTCAAATCATTTCATTACATTTCCACATATTGTTAAAACTACTTGCATGGTAGTTTCTATTAGCGGGGACAGTAACGATCCTTTGACGTGATAATAAGGGCCGTCCTTTTAGTCTGACTGTGCAATTTAACTAGTAATGAATCAAGGTATGAGTTTCACTCCAATTATTTTCTTCGCCAACGGTTCGATCTGACTAAAAGACAAATATAGGTTTTATTATTCCTTAATCACCTATGCAGCTATATTTGATAATTAGAGAGTGCTTTATTTGTTTTTGTTTATGTTTTGTTTATTTTTGTTTCCGATTTTGCTTTTGGCGTTCACTTTTTGTCAATTCGTACAATTTTTATGGGCGTTGGAATTCTTCACGCATTCCTTGTATGTAATGTTGCTTTTGAATCGTGCGTGTTCGGTCTTGTTTACCTGGCTGTTGCTTACTATCGCATGTCCTTTCACATCTCATGAAAAATGCCTAGTGATTTGGCCATTACAAGAGGATCTGCTGATTTTACATCACTAAGATAATTATCTTTTAACCAACGTTGTCCATAATTTATTTCCATTTACACAAAATTAACAGGTGTTTTATTTCGTAAAGGTTGTTTTTAACGGAAGGCATTGCTTTCTTTAGCAAGAAATCTCTCAAACTTGCTTAGCATTCAAAATATTGATTAAGTTAGTATACATGATACGTTAGAATTCACTGAAAGAAATTTTTAGACATTTTTTGCTCGTGTTCTTTTGATTTTAAACGGGATCTTTTCAAATGTAACTATTAAAAATTTTCACACTTACACAGTATTATTTATAGTTTCTTTTCTTAGAGTTCTAAGCATTTTTCCGATTGGGTTCTCTGGATATTTATATGTAATTTACATTCTAGATATATTTGTTTCATTCTCTTGGATTCGTGTGCATATGTATGCACTTTACTTCAGGAACAGTAATTTTATTTTGTGAACACTAGCTCATCATCGTTGAAAACGTTTAAACTGATTATTTATAATAGTTCAAATTAAATTGGTTGATGGTTGGTTGAATTTGTACGGCGCACCAGCACAAAGAGGCCATTTAGCGCCATACAAAAGGTTAAATTCTTCATAATATAGAAACGGTAAAAAGAATCTGTATCACCCAGTGAAACAAAACCAAATAGCTAAAGGTAAAACGATAAGAATGGTAACGGTGATAAAAATAGTTTCCCGATCAACGGGGATTGCAAATAATATACGACTACGAAAACATATGAAAGGTAATTAAAGTCTAGCAACGGTATACATAACGCACATAAAAATGTTTAAGATGATAACATAGAAGTTATAACTGATGATATAGGTTTACTTCTTTAAGGAAGTCTATAACATAAGTAAACAAGGACTTGTAACTAAATGCAAGAACTTTAATGACGAACAGTTAGCCCCTAATAATGACTTTAGTATTGATTTTTAGTGCATAATTGTAACTTTAGTTACTTTTATTGACAATAGTAAATATCTGTAACCTTTGTCGACTTTTAGTTAGTGACCTTCAGTTTTGCACTTTTTGTAATACAGAAGAAGGCACCAGTCTACTGCTAAAATGAATCTGCAAAGAAAACGAATACTATTTGTTCTACAAGCTAGAGAATGTAGGAGAAATTTGTTATAGGGTAATTACGATGCAAGAGATCGATAATAAAACAGATAATGGCAGGGGACCTGAAACAAATAGAAAAGGAGCTAAATTAAGAAATTAACCATGCATAATGTATGCCTGAAGAACACGACAGCAAATAAGTAAAGAACAAACGAAAAAATGAGAAAGGAAAAGTCTTTGGTTAAATAATTTCATTTATCAAACTTCCTGTTACTTATCAGCTTCGGCTGTATCACTTATACAGGTGGCATGACTAAAACAACAAATTATTCAACGTTCTAAACAGGAAATCTGTCGAGCTACATTATGCAAACAAACTGTACGTTCTATTAGCTATCAAATCCTGACATTTTGTAGTTTGCATGTTTTTGCTCTACAAAATAATTGTCAAACCAAGTGCCTGACATCAATTTCATGGTATATTTAGCTAACACTACAGTTTAATCACAGCAGTACTATCACGGTATATTGACAAATTTGTTCACCTTTTTGTGCTGAATGAACCGGGAAGTTTTTGAAAAGTAAATGTTTGTCTCAAAGAGTGCAATAAACATTATCTCCAAATATGGTTAGACGCAGGATTAAGAATCAATGATACTATGGTACTGGAGAAATTATCGTGTACCAGACAGACATACAATGTATATTTTCTCTGGATGGTATTTTAAAATTACTCACACCAGTCAAAAATTACTCGTACCAGTCTCTATATTCGATATCATTACAGACTATTTAATTGCACACGGTATGACACCTAGTTGAATAGTTTCATAAACGTCGATTCTTTCATTTTATCAGCACTACTTTATTTACCTAACCTTTCTGGCAATGTCTGCAAAAATTTTTTCCTGAATAATTTATGTAACGTAAAATGGCATTGTTCTTCGAAAAGTTTCACTCAAACCTTCAAAGGAAAATTATTACCATAAATTCATTTTTTCAGCAATTCCAATGACTTTATGTGGTGCGTTAAATTTTGGTTCTTTTACCTTAAATTAAAATCTTGAATTTCCAGCATATTTGATAACAAAATTGCTGTCATACTAAAGTTTCTGACAAGATAGATATCTGCATCCTGATCATGTTATATTTTTCTTCGCCCACCATTTATAAAATGAAAGTCTTTATACATTTCGAGTAGTACATATTAACAAGAGCGATCGCAGAAAGTTTTCTTGGGTGGGGGTGCGGAGGCATACATGTACTGGTCAGCTGTTAAGCTTTAGGCCAAAACATGTTTAGAGGTGGTATCCCAAGTAGGGGAATGGGTAAGTGCACCCTTGCCACCAAGAACGGGCGCCCATGTATATTAGCATAGTTCAATGGTGGTATTAATTTAGCTAGCCATGGGCAAATGTGGGGGTAAAACTTTATAATGGGTTAGATAAAAATATTTTCATACCAACCTATTTTGATATCGTTCTTCTATTAAAAAATGTAACTCTCTCTCTCTCTCTCTCTCTCTCTCTCTCTCTCTCTCTCTCTCTCTCTCTCTCTCTCTCTCTCTCTCTCTCTCTCTCTCTCTCTCTCTCAGGCGATTAAACTTGTTACATAAGCTGTTCAGTTTTAGGCATGTGCATTTTAATGTCCTCGAAAATGTCACTTCTGAGTATGTCTGGCACACACAAAAAGTCAATACTCTGAGTGAAATTGGATCTGTATAAGAGAGCACCAATGAACCTAAACCATATTTGTCAATACCAATAGACTGGTTTTGTCAAAAAAAATGAATTCAAGACGATTATGTCCTGAAATATGAAAACAAACATGACGAGAAAGACATAAATTTAAGCTGTTACATGGCAGCAAGCACAAGAAAAGCCATTGTTTTGTCGATAAATGTATATGAATGGACCTCTGTGTATGAAACAAACTGTGTTTTGACGTGCAATGAACTTTGTGTACAGACAGCTATCGTTATGTGCAAGTCAACGGGGAGAGGCAATGTCAATGTTCAGCGAGCGGCCTCGCGACCAGAAGGGTGCAGGTGTCAGCCATGGTTTGGCAACAGAGGTGTGCCGTTGGGCAAGGTAAATGATTACTCTAGCGGCCAAGGCACGATATAACTTTTACGCATTCTTGTATACAAAATCGATATGTTAGTATATCGGTAGATGGTTAGTAATGTCTAAACTAAACTATACTGCGTGCAGGGGACAATGATGTTAACATTTAGCCCAGATACTTGCAGAGGATTACTAATATTATAGGCTTCATTTGGATTTCCTTTTAAAAAACCTTCATATATTATCTAGGAATTAGTAAGGTTTATCAGTAAAATAACACATTATTTCTTGGCAATGTCATGAGATAATATTTTTCCTAGCGTTATCCCGTCCAGGCTCCCCTACTTCTCTCTCTCTCTCTCTCTCTCTCTCTCTCTCTCTCTCTCTCTCTCTCTCTCTCTCTCTCTCTCTCTCTCTCTCTCTCTCTCTCTCTCTCTCTCTCTCTCTCTCTCTCTCTCTCTCTCTCTCTCTCTCTCTCTCTCTCTCTCTCTCTCAAGATGACTTTTTTCCGTTTGCGTCAACAAGAAGAAACAATTTTCTTATTGCTAAGATCTAATTGTCATTTCGGGTAATAACGTAATGACTTTTTGCGTAATAATTGATTCAAGCTAAAATTATATAAGTGAAAGAATAGAGGCATGAAACAATAGCATCCTATGGTAACTAACACACGATGCAAATAAAATCATTTATTACATTGTTTAGATAAGACGTACTGTAATCGTTTCTATAATTGTTACAAATCGAAATCTTTGAATTAATTTTCGTCGGCATAACATACATACATACATACATACATACATACATACATACATACATACATACATACATACATACATACATACATACATACATACATACATACATACATACATATACACACACATACATACATACATACATACATACATACATACATACATACATACATACATACATACATACATACATACATACATACAACCCCTCTGATGACCTAGTGGTTAGAGCGTCCGCCTCAGATGCGGAAGGTCTAGGGTTCGATACCCAGTGGAGTCATACCAAAGATTTACAAAAATGGTACTAACAGCTGCCTCGCTTGGCGTTCAGCATTAAGAGGTTACTATTAGGACTGATCGGCCTGGTGTATAAGGATAATGTGACTGGGTGGGGCATCATGCTACATGTCTGTGGCATGATGCCCAGTGCTAGACATCACTATAAACTTTCACCCTGCAGACATCGAAGCGATATGACTGAGACATTGCACATACATTAATGTTATCTCATTTGTATGGGAGATATATAAACGAGTCTTTCGGATGGACACTGAACTACACGTGAGAGTGCTGTATACATCTTAGAAAACGAGTTCATATTTTTAAATACAAATGCATTAAAAAAAAATATTATGTACTCATTTTCTTATTATGTCTATGCTCATTCTACCTAATGCAGGAAACTAAGAAATTTAATTTATGCTGTATTCCTAAGTAGATACACTATCGCAGATTTATCAATACATGGTAACAATTTTAACGTGCACATAGCAGAGCCTAGTGACCTTTTGAACATTGTCGCTCGCTCCTCATCAACTTCAAAAGGTCTTATTGTTTCGGTCTCCATGCAAATGAAATTTAGTCATGTTGTCAATGAATTTGGATGGAGTTTTTTTTTTCTATGTTGATCCGTCTTAATTAATCTTTTCTGATTATGATAGACTGGATTGTTCGGTCAATTCAGTGCAGTAAGAAGTATGGATTTAATCTGTAAGTGTTAGCTATCATTTCGGTCGATTCTAAAGAGTATATTTTTAGGAAATTCAGTATGCATATATATATATATATATATATATATATATATATATATATATATATATATATATATATCCAATAAACTGACGACGAACAGTACGAAACTAGTAACTAACTAGCCTAAGCGCTTTCGACTCTTAATGAGTCTTTTTCAAAGGCAAATACAAAACATAGTTACGACAAACAAATAAACACAAAAATGTTGCGTTTGTAAACCTCTACATTTCTATCTTCACATGTGCTAAAACTATAAATACAACCAGCTTGTATAGACTAGTTCCGGAAACTGAAAACGTTGTATAATTCCCTAAAAGTCTACAAGCCAAAGCGACATCTATTTTTACTTTTTATACATTTATGTAACGCAGATTATATCCTGGATATTTGGTTCTATACCGGTTATTCTTATAGTAAAAATTGAAGGATAAGAAGATTTAGAAAATGTTAAATTCTACTAGTGCATAGTTTTCATTTTCTAGTCTTCTTGGTTCAGACCGCTTGGTTTCAATGTTCTAAGGCGGCGTATCCAGTATGATTCCTTTTCCTTCCTGGTTTCGGAACTACAGCTGTGGTTGTTAGCAATAGCGATAAGTATTATATCACTGAAAGTGTGGCCAGGGGAGGAGAAGTGTTCTGCGACCGGGCTTCTGTACAGCTTTTTTGTCATCCAATCAGATCTATGAAGGTTTATCCTTTTGTGTAGCTTTTCAGTTTCTCCCACGTACTGAAGGCCACAGATCTTACATGTGATGAGATAAATCACATTCTCTGTTTTGCACGTTTTGTTTGGACCATGTATGTTTAGTTTTTCTTTAGTCACTGTGCTAGTGAATGTCTTGGTCTCTATCATATGTTGACAGGTTTTGCATCTTTTATCGCCACAGGGTCCAGATTGACCAGGTTGGTTTTGACTAGCGATTGTTGTTAGCTTGGCCCTGACTAGGATGGGAGAAACTGAAAAGCTACACATAAGGATAAACCTTCATAGATCTGATTGGATGACAAAAAAGCTGTACAGAAGCCCGGTCGCAGAACACTTCTCCTCCCCTGGCCACACTTTCAGTGATATAATACTTATCGCTATTGCCAACAACCACAGCTGGAGTTCCGAAACCAGGAAGGAAAAGGAATCATACTGGATACGCCGCCTTAGAACATTGAAACCAAGCGGTCTAAACCAAGAAGACTAGAAAATGAAAACTATGCACTAGTAGAATTTAACATTTTCTAAATCTTCTTATCCTTCAATTTTTACTATAAGAATAACCGGTATAGAACCAAATATCCAGGATATAATCTGCGTTACATAAATGTATAAAAAGTAAAAATAGATGTCGCTTTGGCTTGTAGACTTTTAGGGAATTATACAACGTTTTCAGTTTCCGGAACTAGTCTATACAAGCTGGTTGTATTTATAGTTTTAGCACATGTGAAGATAGAATTGTAGAGGTTTACAAACGCAACATTTTTGTGTTTATTTGTTTGTCGTAACTATGTTTTGTATTTGCCTTTGAAAAAGACTCATTAAGAGTCGAAAGCGCTTAGGCTAGTTAGTTACTAGTTTCGTACTGTTCGTCGTCAGTTTATTGCATCTATTTTAATTAATCCCTGACAAACGGGATCCCTTGGTGGATCCAGTACGCTTGAGAGGGTTGTTATTCGCCATATGATTTGTATTCTTTATATATATATATATATATATATATATATATATATATATATATATATATATATATATATATATATATATATAGTTCAATACAAACAATACTATCATACAGGTTAGAGAAATTAAATTCGTACTCTACGGAGTTTCGAACCCAGGTCCGCGAGTAAATGGCACCCATCGCCTTGTCTGCCCGCACCAACCCATACACCGTCACGACTAAGCACGAATCACCATAAAATGATGGCACTGAATCGGTGTCATATAAGCTCGTGTGTAGCAGACACGCTGGCATGACGACCTAGTAAATAATTCTCATATATATATATATATATATATATATATATATATATATATATATATATATATATATATATATATATATATATATATATATACACACACACACACACACACACACACAGATGTTCCAGATTCCTATGAAAGAAATCAAGGTATATAGGACTTTTGTATTACAAGTAATTATAAATATATACCAGACAGAACAGACTGTGCTATCCCTGGATTCTGTAGTAAATTCTTGATAGAAGTGGGCAGAAATAATAGTTGAATACAATCAATACTATCATACAGGTTAGAGAAATTAAATTCTTACTCTACGTAGTTTCGAACCCAGATCCGCGAGTAAATGGCACCCATCGCCTTGCCTGCACGCACCAACCCATACACCGTCACGAGTAAGGCGATGGGTGCCATTTACTCGCAGACATGGGTTCGAAACTCTGTAGAGTACGAATTTAATTTCTCTAACCTGTATGATAGTATTGTTTGTATTCAACTATTATTTCTGCCCACTATTATCAAGATTCTACTGCAGAATCCAGGGATAGCACAGTCTGTTCTATATATATATATATATATATATATATATATATATATATATATATATATATATATATATATATATATATATATATATATATATATATATATATATATATATATGTATATAATAACCATTATTATTAGCAGCAAATTAAAACATTTATACTCTATCACGTGTATCTTGCTGTTAGAAAACCAACCACAGCTATGACCTCTATAATAAAGTGTGTCATCTATCGTTAGTTTTACATTGTATCAAAATAGTTACACGGAAGAAAAATTGAAACTGAAAAGCAGATATTGTATGACACTCCATTTACCCGGCAGAAATAGCTCTGTTCTGTCGTCTTGGATTGTTGGTTCTGAGGTTCTTAGTTTAAAACCAAAACCTTCATGGCTTGTTTTGTAATAGCGTACGTCTTTGATAGATATTCGAGAGCCCTTGGCCTCAGTACACTTTTCTATGTTATATTTGTTTTAGACCCTAGAGAGCACTGACCATAATCTGCACCATTCTATTTGTCAAATGATAAGAATATTTCCCTGAATAACTGTTTTATTACATTAATCAGAACAGAATTTTCAACAGCTGCGTCCCACACAATTTCACGTTTCTTCCTGACATGAATATCAGGCGCGTGTCGTTTGCTCGTTTGAAAGATTGTTTCTGACTCCGTGAACTCTTTAACGTCGTTATCTTATTCATCTAATAATCTTTAAAAAATGGATGAAACAACTGCTTTAGTTCATTCACTAACAAATTTATTCAAACTAAACCTAAAGCGTCTACATCACTTGTGTACATGGTTTGTTTACAAAGCAGCTCCTAAAATAATATACTATCTAAAATGCACATGTTCACAGCAAGTACGTGCAAAATGAAGGTGTCCAGTATCGTAAAATACTGCACAATTCTGACAATGTAAAGTTAACATAAACATACATGCATACATACGTAAGTACGTGCGTACATGCATGCATGCATGCATGCATACATACATACATACATACATACATACATACATACATACATACATACATACATACATACATACATACATACATACATACATACATACATATATATATATATATATATATATATATATATATATATATATATATATATATATATATATATATATATATATATATATATATATATATATAGACTGTGGTGGAAAACAAATTACACACAGACATCTACTCGAAACCAACCGACAAACACCAGTATCTCCTCCCAACCAGCTGTCATCCAAAACACTGCATTAGGAACATTTCATATAGCCAGGCACTGAGGATATGCAGAATTTGCTCCGACGATGAAAGATTCCTAGAAAGGTCTGAAGAGCTGGCTAAACATTTAATTTACCGAGGCTACGACAAAGACCTGATTACGGAGGCAATCCAAAGGGCCAAACAAACAAACCGTGATGACCTACTCAGATATGGACAGCAAGAAAAGGTTGATAGGATACCATTTATTCTGACCTATCACCCAGACAATCCCAAAGTAGGTAAAATCATCGCAAACCACTGGCCAACCATGCAATCGTCAGACATACTAAGCCTAATACTTCCGAACAAACCTGTAGTAGCTTACCGGAGACCAAAAATCTTAAAGGACATCCTAGTCAGGGCAAAGCTAACGCCAATCGCTAGTCAGAACCAACCTAGTCAATCTGGACCCTGTGGCGATAAAAGATGCAAAACCTATAACATATGATAGAGAC